ATATACTTACTGTCGTCGACGAATATAGTAGATTTCCCTTTGCCTTTCCTTGCTGCGATTGCTCTTCGCAAACTGCTATTCAGTGCCTGACAAGTATTTTCTCCATTTTCGGGCTTCCCTCGTTCATTCACCCCGATCAAGGAACTTCGTTTATGTCGGGAGAATTTAAACAATTTCTAACACGACTTGGAATTGGATGCAGTAATACTACTGCTTATAACCCTAGAGGCAATAGGCAATGCGAACGTTACAATGGCATAATTTGGAATACCATATTATTGGCCCTGGAATTGAAACAGTTACCAATTAGTGCTTGGCAGGATGTTCTACATGATGTGTTAAATGCTATCTGCTCCCTGCTATGCACCACTACGAATGCAACCCCCCCACGAACGAATGTTCAATTTTGAAAGGCGGTCCTCCACCGGTACTGTGTTGCCTGTTTGGCTCTGTGAGCCTGGGGAGGTATTATTAAAATGATTTGGTGGCAGAGGTAAATATGACCCTATCGTTGAGGTGGTGGAACTCCTTGAGGCCAACCCTACGCATGCCAAATTACGTCACAATGATGGCCGGGAAGATTCGGTGGCGCTGAGACGGTTGGCACGTTTTCCACGCCTGGATGGACCTCAAAATGGACCTGAAAATACTCAACCTGGCGTGGACCATGCAGATTCAACCCTTTTGCCTAATGCAGGTCCCAATAATATTTCTTCACCTTATACAGAAAATGAATCTGTGAATAATAGCCAGAATCCTGAAAGTCAGCCTTCTCAGAGGTCTGGCTCTTCCAGTGGTGAACTACCTCCACGCCGGTCTAGCAGGATTCGTAGACCAATCCAACGACTGGATTTATAAAACTTTTTCAATTACAGAAAGAAAGAAAGAATAAAAAAGGAAACTAGCTTTCTTGTCCACGTGACTTTTCACACGTTCATACTCCTCTTTAAAAGCTGCATTATTCTTCTTTTTCATTCTAAATTCTTTCCTTTGTTGATTACTGACTGCTGTGAATTAAGTTCAGTAAAGCCTTAAGAAAAGGTTATTCTATCCTAGCTTTCTTCTCTGTACTACGTAACAGCCATCATTCTAAATTGCATCCTTTTAGGTGGATGTATTCCTCTACTCTTAGTTTCTTTTGATAAAAAGTAACATTTCTGATTTAGTTTTTGCATACATATCCACCAAGAACTGGTTGAATAGTTGCTTGAATCTGAAGAGAAAATTATAACTGTTACTTGTAGTTTAAATAAGTCTGTATTGCTGCAATGTCACTTGTACAAATCAAAATATCACTGGTTCAATTCACTGTCCTCGCTTTCTGAACACGTCATTACGTATAGCCGTTGTTTCTCCCTGTTTTCACCGCTCCAGCCCTCTTTTATCAGGCTGATACCGCGGTACACCAACCAATCAGCATTCTTCGCTTTTATTCTTGGTTACACAGGCAAATTGCCTCTTCCAGTTCGACCAAATAGCACACGACTTGTTATTGGTGGAAGCATGCCAAACTGTACAAAAACCCCTCATCACTGCATATACTGCTAAAATGGCTGGATGGGAGAGTAATGCCATTTTCGTGGAGCAAACTTGCTGATATCACGTGCTGCACGTTAAGGTAAGACCCTTATTTTCCTGTACACCAGATGCAAGCCACTCTGGCTCACTTGCTTCTACAGGGCTGTTCACCACATTACTCTTTATCATAATTCTGCATGCACAGAAGTCCATGGCTGATATTTTTTTCTTTGTGGTTAGTCCAGTGTTCAAATGTCTTTGCCTGAGGAGAAAATGGTATCCATCTGTTCCTTGCCAAAAGATTAGCGGATATTGTAAGGCTTCATAAGCTCTGTGAGTTTCTGCAACTTTTTGAAGACTTCCATCTTGTCTCTGGAGACCGATATCCCTTCTGTCACATTCTTGGCCAACCATTAGGATAGTTACCTCATTGGTAGATGGTATATTGAACCTCCTCTGGTGCTCACCAGAAGGTGCTTTGTCAGCTCTAATCACAATTCTGAAATCTGCAGGTCTGGATCTTTCCATAGCTGATTTAAATTCCCTAAAATAAACATTGTGCTCATACAAAAAAACTCTTGAAGAGTAATAATATCAATCTTCAGTTTATCAAACATATTTCTTCTAGTCTGTGCTTGGTAGCCCTCTATGAAGTAGATTTGAAGAAATTGGTGTGGCTCATTAGATAATGATAGAAGGGAATCAATCATGTGGTGAACCTAACCTATGAAAGTTGATTTCCATCCTGGAAGTGTTGCATCTTTTGCTCCAAATGAGCTCATAGCAAAGCAATTATTGTAGGTTGTAATGTGCTGGAGAAAATCTCTTGATTCTTGAAAAATCCCAGTCAAAAGAGAGAAGAGTGGCTCAAAAGGTATTGGAAGTTCTGCTAGTTGAATCTTTCCTTTCTTACAACACATATCAGATTAATCCTTGAATCTTATGGCATTGCAATAATGGCACTGGATATCTATTGGTCGAAGGGACACCTTTTGATGATTTGCATAATCAGTATTGGAATGCAACTTTGTGGAAGTTAACAAAAGGTATATTTTGTACACTGGCATATGTTACTGAATCTAAACCAAGCTTGTTGCTGTCTTGTAATGGAGTTTCAGCAGCTCGTGATGCTCTCATTTGGGGATCATGAAGAGATTTTCTTTTTGGAGCTTGCTGAATACTTTCATCACTGAGGATTAACAGAAATAATATTTCAATCGTTTTCACTATTGGAGAAAAACAGAAAAAGTAATTAACAGTAGTACACATCTTTCGTGCTGTACATATTTTGTTTAAATAATAAACATTTTATGCATAATGTAGTTGTAAACATGGAAAATCAATAAAATAAAATTTTAACATGTCCAAAAGTGCGAGTATCTCGTTAAAAAAGTAAACATTAATTTGGTATTGTAAAATACTGCAGTAATTATTTAAAACCTTTTAATATTTTATTTTAGTTACATTTGCTACCAAAAAAAAAAAAAAAAAAATTTTCGTTTCATCCAGTGGAAATTAACATCAAGAAGAAAAAATAGATATCAGACATTTAACTGGTAATTGTGAATGGACTTCTAACTAAAATTAAAAGAGGACAATCATTTAATATATTTTAAGCAGTGTATGCAAATTAGTCATTAGCTTATTTGTATTACAAAATTTTTAAATTAAAAAGGAAGCATTTTTATATTTTTTGAGGCAGGGATACGTTTGTGTATGAAATATTGTTTGCTTTTTTTTTTTTTACTTGTTCTATTTACTCAGAAAAGTCCATTTTGATAGAATGTAGTTTGTCAAATTTCCACACTGTAACTTCTGTAAAAAAGCAGCTAATTATGGATGCTAGATATAAACTGATAAATGTTTACCTTAGAAAAATAACCTTGTCATTTTTCTAGGCAAAATTAGTTGTTTTTCTATGGGATTAATGTTCACTATTTAGGAAATGTTGGAGGGGTTTTTGGATTAATATTCTAATTTGTTCAAAGAATATGACTGTAATGACAAGAAATTAATTGGTTGGATGTGGAGGCAGGCTTATAGTTAATGAAAGTTTTAGATAGAAGTTGAAGGCCAAGTAAGATGCAAATTTCAAACACTTTTCTGCATTATATAAAATGATATTCCTAAACAGAACTATTTTCGATATGAAAATCAAAACAATCTTCAAATAAAAGAGCAGTAATGAAGGACAGTTAATTAATGAAATATACTTTTTTAAAACCAATATGCAAATTAGTTAAACCTGAAAAGTGATATTGCCTAGAAGTAGATAATATATAACACCGATATTGAGCTTTTAGCGCGTAAATTGGAGGATTTCACATTATTTATCATCTTTCAGTTGCGTCTCTGTCTGAGGACAGAGGGCTAACTGAGGAAAATTATACTGAAGAGGTGCCCATCCCTGGGGAACAGCTACCCAAGGTAAATTATTCTTTCAAGTAGTTTGTAACACATTATTTATCATCTCTCAATTGTGTCTCTCTTTGGGCAGAGTGCAGTCAGGGGCAACTCCATTAAAGGACAGAGTCACAACTGAGGAAAATTATACTGAGAGGTGCTGGCTCTGGTGAACAGCTGCCTGAGGCCATGCCTTCTCATTGCACTAGAGTGAAGGATCAGTGCATGCACCAAGGCCAGATGGTTGCGGGGGCTTGGGGAATTCCCTGGAGTATGTGCTCAGGCTCCCCACATTAAACCGGCCTTGTGCCACACCATGACCTTGTGTGTGTGTGTGTTGAGTAAATACAAATTACTCTTTTGAGTAGTTTCTAACACATCTATTTATCATTAAAAGACAGAGTCACAACTGAGGAAAATTATATTGTGAGGTGCCAGCCCTGGGAAACAGCTGCCCTCTCATTGCACTAGAGAGAGGGATCGGTGCATGCACCGAGGCCAGCACAACTGATGGTTGTGGGGGCTCAGGGAATTTTTGTTCCTTGCCCAGGTGTACGCACTAGGGACCCCACCTTAAAAAAGACCTTGTGTCACAACTTGTCTTAGTGGGGAGACAGAGTAAATACCTAGTGTGTAAATTACTATAAAGTAGAGTTGAGGCCTTTTAACCCAAGAATTTGTGGGAGAATTGAGCTCCAGTTTCACATTTATACATATACATAATTTAATTTTCTGAAAAGCATTAGTATTATATTTTGGTTTGTATAGCAATAAACAACTATATATAAAATTAATGAAGTGTAATTAAAACAAATTACAATACTTTTTACACTAAGCAAAATTTAATACGAACAACACATTTCATATCTTAATATTAGATACTGTTATAATGTATTTCACCTAAAATTGGAAAATTTACAAGAGAAATATGAACAGATGAGAATTATCATGTAGCTAGTTTTGTTATTACCTTGGATTTCTAAATTAAATTTTCAACTATAACATGTATAAATGTTTTATTGCTACCTTTTTTTTTATATGAGTGGTGAACATTAATTTGATCAAAAATAGATTTGTACCTGTGATAGGAGTTTGAATGGAAGCAGGAACTTGATTAAAAGTTGATTTTTCATTCACCCCGGCAGTTTTTGTAGCATCAAACATATTAAGAAGCTGGACAGTTAATTTGTTTGTATATCTTTGAGTAAATTCCTGAAAGGAAAAATAGAAAAGAATTATGAAAATATAAAAATTGACTACTGAATGAGCAACAATTAAATTTTGTTAAATAAGTCATTGAACAAAAAATATAAAAGAGAGGTAACAATTTTTTTTAATACAATTAACAGAATAATGACTGATGAATAAAGCAACTGAAATGAGTAAAAAACAATAAAGATGAAAATATTTGTTGTATAAATTAACCTGAACAAAATTACATCCAGTGGTTAAAATAGTTTTAAAAAAATTGAATGTTAACTGCAATTCATCTCAGACAAAAATTTAAATTTAAAAAATATTTTAAATTTAAAAAAATTTAAAATTTTTTCACAGATATTTCTACAAACAATAACCTTGGAAGTCAGAACCATTTATCATCTTTTTCTGCTTAAGTTACTCTGATGTATCAATTTATGTGCTAAAATGTAATTCTATGGGTGTAATACAGATCATAAAATTCACCCACAGACCAATTATCTCTCCAACCTAATATAGAGGGATTATGAATATTTATTGCTTCAATTTATAACAATTGTAGTAAATATTCAAATTCTGTTTCTTTTATGTGACATGTCCTTTCAGGAAAGTTTCTATTCTCCTTAAAACTTCCTTGTTCCTCACATGTTCTGTTCATGGTATTCTTAACATTCATCGGTAGCATCACATCTGTCACTTAACATCTCTTCTTTATCTGTGAGGAGATTGTCTATCATTCACTGCCATATAAGAGATTAAATATTACATAGCATGTTTTTCTTTGTTTTTAAGGATATTTTTCTATCTCTTAATACTTTGCTTAGTTTCTTGAAGACATTTTGTAATCCTATGAGCCTCTGGGTTTTTTGTGTCACATTTTTGTTATCTGTTACAGCACGACCTAGATAGAGTTCCATACCTGCCTAGCTCGGACATCTGCAATACATTGTCTAGACCTTGAGCTGTCTTTTTTACTGACAATAATGCATTCTGTCTTCTTACAGTTAGTTAGTCCTTTCTTCTTGCTTTCTGTCACTTTTAGTCTTTGCCCATCAATTATAATTCTGAACCAAATTTTAAAATTAAAATGCCAGTGTGTAAAAAAAAAAAAAAAAAATTACAATGTTTAGCTATTTACAAAACCATAGGTAAAATATTCAGAATATTGATCTATTTCTACCTGCCATATTCATTTATTAATTACTGTGAAAATGGTATAAAAGTTTTTAACTTGTTTACACTTGAAGAAGCATTTCTTTCTTGACAAACATTTACCTGAAATTACCTGCACATCAACTGAAAAGTAACATTTGTAGACAAAAGTGTTGGAATTGTTTTCTGAGAATTTTATTTTTTTTTATACAAAAACCATAAAGTTATAGAATTCAAAAACAATGAAATGGAAATTATTTTGTTGCACAGTAATGATTTATTCACACATCAAATATATATTTGGAAAAAATGTTTTGTTGAGATACAAGCACAAATTAAAAAATAAAAAGACATATGTTGGGATAATCCTTTGAACTCGCTCATAATACACAGAAAAAAAAAAAAAACAGGCCATAACTTTGCTTATTTGGATGCTACTCTTATTAGAAAGAACATAATAAATTATGTAGAAAATACTTAACAGGGATCCTGATAAATATGTCAAACACACATTATTATAATCACAAACTTTTATTGATACTTAAACAATCAAAGCTCTATCTTCAACCCATGTAACCTAAATTCTTTCACTCTCACACAAAACATCCCCCAATAAACATATGGACCAGACAAAAAAAATGCCCACTAGATGCTCAAACACAGACATGCACTTTATCAACTGAATCTCGCATAGACCAACTAGAATTGTGATACATAAATACACATAAATTATACAGACTGATGCTGCTTGACAGGACAAATTCATGTGATGTCTGCTTAATCAATGAAAAACAAACACAGAAATACCAGAATTTTCTTTTTTTCTCCATATTTCATTTTCTGATAAAGCTTAAATAAAAGTAAAACATGTTAAATTTATGTTTCCTGTTTGTCCCTTACCCTATCTTTGTCATACTCTAATTCATATTTGGTCCCAGTTCATAATGATTTATTATGTAGCTAAGAATTTTCTATTATGTTTGAGAAATTCTTTATTATATTGCTCTTAATTAGGTACCACTACAGAAAACATGATACCTAAGTTTTAAAATGGATTTTTAAAAATGAAAAATCTTTCTTGAAGCTTTTATTTTAGTTTTAATTTCAAGCTAAAAGATTAAATTTAATATTTCCAATAAGCAACATACTTTGCTGTATTTCAAAACTAATTTAAATTGACTAGAATAAATTTTTTTTTTTTGCTAAAATAACTGATTAGCACCCTTTTTTATTTGTCTTTAATCACAATGTACAGTGTGATGGGTATCTGAGGACAGTGCAGAGGTTTTGGGAAGAGTTGGATGAGTCTAATGGTGATTATGAAGGTGTTTGGAGAGATCACTAGTGATGGTGATGTTATACTTCCATTCATCTTCCCATAGGGCCTCAAGATTCAACATGGAAACCTATAGCAAGTGCTTTGAGAAGATAGTGCTACCCTGTGTCAGGAGGGTGTCTGCTGGAAGACCCTATGTCTAGCAACAGGACTCTGTACTATGCCACACAAGTAAGTGAACTTAGTCATGGCTGTCAGACAATTTGTGATGACATTTTCCCTTGCATCTGGCTATCTAACTTCCCAGACTGCAACCTCCTTGATTATTATGTGTGGGGTGCAGTTGAGTGAGAGACCAACAAAACTCTTTGTAACACCAGAGGTGAACTGAAGGCAATGATTATAACAGCATTCACGAACTTAAACAAGGAGACAGTCCAGAAGAGTTTTAGGAGATTCTTCCAAAGTCATCTGGAGGCCATGGTTGAAGCCAATGGTGATTTTATTAAATAAAGTTACTTTAGTATTCCACGATATTTTTGTGTAATTTTAGTAAATATATCTGTTAAAATGAGATGTCTGTGATATTTTCATTTTTGTGTAATTTAGACAATTTATCCTTTGCACCCCGTAATTCTCTTTAAAAAAAAAAAAAAAATCTTCCAGAATTAAAATATACTTTCCTCAAACTTTATTTGAGGAATATTAGTTGAAGTATAATTAATTATTGTTCTACAGGGGACTTTATCTGTAAAACATAATTGAACAATTTAATGTGAGCGCATTTTTATAATTTTTTAGTACTCAATTTTTTAGATTTAGAAAATATTCTCTATAATCTAATAAATATTAGTTTTAAATCTATTATGGTTATAGCTCTTATTTCCTGATAATGCTGTGTATAAAAATCCGTATGAACAAGTTTATACACATACAAAAAAAAAAAAAAAAAAAAAAATTTTAAATATTGGTATTTGATGATTTGTATTAAGATTTTCCATTTATTATTAGTAAATATAGTTTTGTTTTAAAAAAAAAAAAAAAAAAAAAAAAATTTTTTTGTAAAAATACATTATTCATCAAAAAATTTTTTCTTAAGAAAATAGTGTCCTTAATATATCTTATTTATAAAAGCAATTAAAAGCTTTTTTAATTAAATAATGTCTTAGTTTTATTGCATTTTCTATTTTACTAGTCAGATTTTTGGTAAATGGTGTTTTTCTGTTTCATAAAACAAATTGATGATTTAAATTCTCCAGAGTCCCGTTTTTAACTAATATAACTATGAAGAGGGTGTAATTTTAATTTCTTACAATTTCATAAAATTAAGTAAGTGTGAGTAACAGATGTTAAAAAGGAAATAAAGGAAAAAAAGGAAAAAAAAAGGAAAAAAAGAAAAAAAGGAAAAAAAGAAGAAGAGTTCTTTTACTTAGAATCTTAGAAAAATAATTTCGTTAATTTGTGAATAATAAGCCCTGAAAATTTCATTAAAATTCAACATTTATTTTATTTTTTTAAAATTTCCAAAACAATGTTTTTTTTAATGTAAAAAAGATGCTAACTTCTATATTTAATCTTTGGCCCACCTGTTGACATGAGAAAAACAAGATTTTTAACCAAAATTTTGAACATTGTAGAAAGGATTGAAAAATTTTAAAAATGGTCTTTACTCTTAATAATAACAAACATTTTGACAATAAAACTTAGTTTTTATCATGCTATCATCTTTTTTAAAAATCATTGAAAAACCATTAAGCTACTTTTAATGTATTGAACTTTGCATTCTTATAAACCTGTATTTCTGTATTTATCAACGATAAATACAAAATATGGATTTTTTTAATAATTCAATCTACCCATTGATTTATTGTATTAAATACATTTATTTTAATAAAAAATGATTCTTTTGCCATTTCTTTTAATTTGAATCCAGTGTTTAAACACACAAAAAATTTCCCTTTGACTAGACTTTGCCTAACAAGAACAATTTAGCTAAAATATTGTCCCTCCCCACCACCTATCAATCTAATAAAATCAGCTAGCCTTAGTGACAATACAACAATTGGTAATTGTGAAAATTTGGTGAACACTATTAAAAAGTCTCCATGTAAGAAAATCTGAAACACCTGACTTTTCTTTACAAGTTGTTTATGAACAATCCATCTCTAAGATATTCTTAGTATTCAAGGAAGACTCCATTGAGCACTCTCTAAAAAAGAAAACAGAATGTACAATTATAAAAGCAGTGTTGAATTTTGAATATTTAGGAAATACAACAGGAAAAGAAAGTAAAAAAAAAACATTTTAAATATCTTAGACTCAAGATTAATTAGTGGAAATAAGCAAAAGAATAAAATCAATAAAATAATAACTATGATATAAATGCAGAAAAGCCATCAAAAAATACCAAATGATTAAACATAGAAATTTCTTTCTTTCAGCTCTTTTGTTGTGTTGAAAAAGTTTCAGTGCACCCTCATAAGCAGAGCACACACACAACAAAAAAATTACCATGATGGAGAAACATTCAGTTGAATTAAATCTGCTCATTAACTCATTAAAAGGCTGAAAATGCCCAAATGTGCCTGCAAATTTTCACATTTACAATCTGTGAGTACCAGAATGTGTAAATTCATCCATATTTGTATTTCAATACCCAACATTAACATCCGTTACGTGATTAATACTAGAGATGCCAAATTTTTCTTACAACTTTTTTGAAATCTGGTTATTCATGCTATTTAAAATAAATAAAAAACAGAGCATAAGACTCAAATATGTGTATATCCAAAAATAATGTTTGGAGTAGTAGGAAATAGTGTCAATTGGAAATAAAATCCATTTATTCCTTATATTACTAAATAAACATTGTTGTTTTAAATACAGTTATCAAATCTGAACTACTTGTTATCATTTTTTTTATAATACACACTGATGTATAATGCAGGGCTGTGGATGTTAACACAAAACCTTTATTTCTGAATCCTATTTTTTAATTACTCCGACTCAGACTCCTCTTTATGTTTAAGTAATTATTATTTCTACAACTCTCAAAGTCTGTGCATATTGTACTTAACTTTCATAGGTCTATCATTATAACTGGTTGATATCAAAAAAATAAAGACATTCATTCTTTTTCCAATTTCTAACAGAATCAGAGACAAAATCTTTGAAGAAAGGATATAGAAGAAATAACAATAAAAATAAAAAATACTATAATGTAAGACTTTTTACATAAAACATATTGTTTCAACTGGAGTTGATATATTTTTACCAACTTTGACTCAGTGACCCCTTGTTTCTGACCGTCTCCACAACCTGTGCTGGTAACAACCATATTGAATATACCAATGAGTGTTGAATGAAAATTTGGCCACATATCTTCAAATCAATCTTAATTATTCCACATAAAGGAAAAGTAAAGTTAATGACTTTCCTTCTCCATAAAAAAATTCTATCATTAAATTCTCAGAAAAGTGCACATAAATCCTCTGGTTTCCTCTTGGCTGAGGTTAAATGTTTAACAATTTGTTGCACATACTATTTAAAAAAATTGTAAGCATTCAATGACAATTATAAAAAATATGTAATAGAAACTTACCATTTTTTATAGCTACATATTTGTAAGGCTCCTTCTGCAAAATTGTTTAACCCTGAAAATTGAAATAAAGACAATGTGATAACTTTGGTAACTATTCTTCTGGCAGTGCCAAGGAGTTGTAGCTTGAGTATTTTTACACAGTTACCAAATCCACTTTAAACCCAACCTTGTGTCACATTTTTTTGTGCCATGCATGCATACAAATTTTCTCTTCATTATTTAAGCTTCTCTTTGTACCTAAAAAAGAAAAAATGTTTGGGTGGGGAGACTGAGATATGATGGCTCATTTTTTAATATTATTTTTTTTTCTGGTTGTACAGTTATTGTATGAATTTACCTTAAATTTTGTAAATGAATCAATCTGAGCTAAAAATATTTTACAATATTTTTTAAAATTATGAAAATTAGTAAATACAAACCTTCATTCTCTTTATAATGTCATGTTGGATTGATATAATGCTGGCTATAATCTGATAACAACATCTCAATAGCATGAGCTGATACACTAGAAAGAATGGAAAAAAAAAATATAGTTATTTTAGGTTAAAAAAAAAATGAATCAAAAGCTTTTTTTAAAAGTGTTACAAAAATTATTGCAAAACATAGAAAAATAATTCTAAAATTTTAAGAAAAAGGTATATTTCACAGTTATTTGTATTTTTTTTTTTTTTTTGCATGTGTGAACAAAAAAAACTCAGGTTATGCTGCTGCTTTCCATCAATCTTTAACATTGACTAAAACATCAAATAGCATTTTATTATGCCCTAACACATTTGAGCAGGATTTACTAAATGAATTAAAACATGCAAGATACTGAACTCTGATAGAAATTGATTTAATTCTTAAAATTTATAAAAATTTAACTGTTGTCAAAATGTATATCTTGGTTTATTATATAATTAATACCAAACATCCTATTTCTGGAACAGTTGGCATTAATGGGTTCTAGATAGAAACCCTAATTAATACTGGATTGTTTAGAAATCTATAGTGGATGTTATTTGAGTATTATTCAATAATTTTAATATATTGTTTGTGACCAAACATATAAGTTTTCTCTGTGAATATTGCTCTCAGTTCAAGAAGAAACTTTTTTTTTCTAAATAAAACACTGGAAATTTGATAAACATGACCTATTTGCTATTTGCTTAAAAAAAAAAAAAAAAAAAAAAAGTGTGTTATAGTGAAACACACTTATTCTATTGTTAATAGACTCTCCCACCTATAATAAGTAGGAGTAGTAGCAAGTTGCTCAGTGAGTCAACTCAGGAGTTGGTCAGTCAGTCGATGTCAGACGACCGTTAGTCAGATACTAAAAGCATTCAGCGACCACCACTAGATTTCTCTGCATCATTACCTATTATATCAAGTTCCTAACGTTTTGTATCGTCGAACCTATTTTTAGGACCGACTTAGTGAAATACAAGCCTTCACTGTGAAACTATTCTACAACAACAACTTGGCGACGAATGTATTCGATTCATATGGAGGAAAAAAAAAAATTTTCACCATACAACACTTGACCATGAGGATTTGAAATTCATACAGTGGAAGAAAAAAAAAAAAAAAAAATTCCCAGCCATAACAAACTTTGCGACGAGGGATTTTTTTTCATACAATGCTGGTGAAAAAAAAAAAAAAAAAAAATTGCTCAAACACAATTTGGTGACGAAATTCGTACTCATAATGGAGGAAAAAAAAAAAAAAAACTTGCTCGTCACAATTTTCAGGCGACAAAATCTCGGATTCACAAAAAAAAAAAAAAAAAACTTGGCAAAGTTTTTTGAAAGACAAGACGTCAACTTAGTGATGAAAAAAAAATCTGTCGTATTCTCAACTGAGAAAAGAATTTTTTCTCTCTCGATAAGACAGTTTGCTCAAATAGGTCACAAATTGCAAATTCATTTTGGACCCCCCCTACAATATTTAAGTATTGTGTAAAACTTTTTACGAAGATGGAGGAATGCAAAAATATATTCCAGGAATTTTTAAGTTCCAGACGGAACAACAGATGACAATATTAGAGCAACAGAAAACATTCCAGATGCAACTACAGGAGGAAACTTTTAATAGACAGATGCAGTTTCAACGAGAAATGGAACAGAGGCATAAGGAATTTCAAAACAAAATTCTGGAAATAACTGAGAAGAGGAAAGAGAAAAATCTACAAAATGATTCTTTCCCAGAGAATACAATATGGAATTCAATTGAAATATTCACGTACAGTCCAGATGAAGAGATAACTTTCGAAGAGTATTATAAAAAATATACAGACGTGTATAACGAGGACTGTCATTCGTGGTCTGAAGGAAAGAAGGTTAGACTTCTTTCAAGCAAGTTAGGAACTGCTGAGCATAACAAATTGGTAAATTACATTTTACCGAAAAAAAAAATAGCGAGTTAACATTTACCGAGGCGGTAAATATATTAAGTGAATTATTTAGTAAAAAGACATCTTTGTTTCACAAGAGGTGGAAATGTTTGAATCTGATGAAAGATGACGAACAAGACTATATAATGTACGCAGCCAATGTGAATAAGCATTGTGAAGAATTCAAAGCTAGCAGAGTTAAGCGCTGACAACAATTTAAGTGCTTAGTGTTTGTTCAAGGGCTGGTATTGAGAAAATTAGTACTGACAAAATTGGAAAACCAACCAAGGATTACGATACAGAGTTTGGCAGAAGACTGCACAAGATATGTTAGCGTAAAGAAAGATTCAAAAAAGATAGAACAGTCTGGCATTTTGTATGTAAGGAAAATATGCTACAAAAAAGAAAGTCAGTCTACCAAAAAGAATTCTAAAATCAAACAAAAAGTGAAATACCAGAGAAAAATAAACAAAAACTCCCGAAGCCATGTTTTGCTTGCGGTGAACTTCACTGGTACAGATATTGCAATTTTAGGAATAAAAAATGTTTCAACTGTAAAAGAGTGGGTCATAAAAGCTCGCACTGTAGGTCAAAAAATAAAGACAATAAAATAAGAAAATTAAAGTCTGACGAGGTGAACGATGGAATAACCAGAAAATTCGTTACCATTTAAATAAGAAAATAAAAATGCAATTTGACACTGGTTCCGACCTATCTATCATAAATTTGCATACGTGGAAGAAGTTGGGGAAACCAACTTTAACGAAACCAAATAAAATCGCGAGGTCAGTGATGGGAGAAAAAATACAATTTATTGGAGAATTTGTTACAAATGTCATGTTAAATAAAAAACGCGAAAAGCTAAACTATTTGTCATAGACAATACCACGAACTTACTTGGTACGAATTGGATAACCGAATTCCAATTATGGGATCTACCGATAAATTCTTTCTGTTACAAGGTTGAAAGTTTAAACTCAGAAGCCCAAAAATTACTAAAGAAACTTAAGGGAACTTTTCCTACTGTTTTTTCTCCAGGTTTGGGAATGTGTACCAAGATGGAGGCAAAATTCCAGCTAAAAGAAAATGCTCAGGCGGTATTCAAAAAGAAAAGGAATGTGCTGTTTGCTTCAATTGAACAGAGAGATAAAGAATTGGACAGATTAGAGAAAATGGGTGTATTTAAAAAAGTTGAATGGGTAACACCAACGATATATGTGAAAAACAAGCTCCAGAAAGTAAAGATGAAGCCGACACCGAGAAAAACTGGGGAGTGAGTTACCCGCAACCAAGGACATGCAGTATTATTAAATGATTTAAGTCAACTGAAGTCACCACAGAAAACGTTAAGAAGCACAAGATCAACAAAAGGGAAGTTAGAACAAATAGAACCACAAGAAGAACCTACAGAAACTGTGACTCCATCCTTAAGAAGCACAAAGCGGAAGGCTGTTTCTATGGGGGTATAAAAAGAAAAAAATGAAGTTTTTTTGTTGTTTTTTCTTCATATTTACAAGCCTCCACTGTGAAACTACTCTACAACAAAGTGTCAAGAAGATGTTTTTCCCCCATGACACTGCTTTTAACTACCTTCACTCTTCTGCAATGTTTATTGTTTTAAAAACTAATGATCAGAATTGTAATAGAACGTAAACATATGAAAGTAAATTTATACATTTTCTTTGTTCTTGAGAATTAACAACAAAAATAATAAACACTATTTATTTATTATATAATAGAGTTTATTGGAATAGTTGGCAAAACAACAGCTAATTGCAAATTGATTCAAACTTTATGAAATGGTAAATAATGACTTCTTTGCAGTTGGTTCACATATTTTAATAATTTATTAAATGTTGATAAATTCATGAATAAAAAATCGTTTTCCTATTTATGTTTTTATAAATTGATAAATGATAAATATTGCGTCTATATTTGAGAGGAGGTATTGTAATTATTTACATGTTTGGACTGTTGTCATCATCTTTATTGTCATAAGTGGCGATCAAGAAATCAGTATAAGCACTACCCTACAACATAACAACTACCCTTAGTACATGGCAGCAGCTCCAACAAACTGGGATAGAAGGGTACATAACACCTAGAAAACAGCTATATGAAGGGATTATCGGAGAAAATACAAAAGATCTGTGGTTCATATAACATCAGGACAACCTCCAAAAGTGGTTCAACACTTTGCAGACACCTCTTCTGAGTAAGACCCCCCCCCATAGAGGAGAACATGATTAAGGACTGTGTGTACAGCATCCCGTGAAGCTGTGGTAAGAAACAGTCTGCCCCCTTAAGGTAAGACTGTGTAGTGAAAGAGATAATCAGCTACATTGAAAAAGAGTTTGTGTTTTGTGTGCAATCTGCCGAAGAAAAATTACCAAAAAGTAGTTAGCAAAAAAATATCTACTTTAAGAACTAGAATCTATGCTAATGTTCTTCCCTCCCCTGAATGGCGTGACCAATCAGAAAGATCTCTTGGTGAACAAAAGCCGTTGTTTTTTGCTTATAAAGGTAGGTGATTTTCTGAGCTCGGGGGACGAACACGCATCTTTGCTGGTGAGAAGTGAAGGTTGGAAGTGTGACCCAATTTGTCGTTTCTACGGTGCTTGTTGGACTGTTATGACGGGCTATGGTTTGAACTGTGATTTGGCTACAAGTGTTGCGGTCGAGAGACAGAAGAAATCTATTGCAGACGTTTGTTGCTACTATAAGTTGACAGTCTTTTCTTTTCTTTACAACCACAGACTGCAAGAACATAATAAAGCTATAATACAAGGGGAAATAGAAAATCAGGTGTAGCTGACCACATATGGAGGGAAAAGGGAGATCACCGCCCCCTGTGGGATGAGGTTGAAATAATAGACAGAGAACATCACTGGAAAATATGAAAACTTAAGGAATGAGCACATATGTTAGACCACAAAAATCTAAGCCGGCCAAGCATAGGAATGAATACAATATCAGAACTGGTAATACAGAGTGCTAGAGAAAAGCAATAATAACAACAAAATATTAGTTTTAAGAATGTTATAATTATCAAATTATTCTTGTAAATAATGTTTAATATTTTTGTTGTGAATTCTCAAGAATGCAAAAAAATATATAAATTCATTTTCATCATA